GACAACATTCAATTATGGGTTGTACCCGACTGTGAGATGGGTTTACATCATCATAAGGACTAGAAAACTAGGGATTCATGGCTTTGGTCCATTCTAAATTTGAGTTGAACCTAAGATCCCACAATTTCTCTGTACAATATGAGTGCTCTCCAATGACGTTTCTTGTGAAGAGAGAACACCATTAACGACATAAATATGCAGGCACCCGCTTAGATTATTCAACAACTCACGTCATGAGCATGCGAGCTGTTCACTCCCAAACCAACCGTGCCTTTTCTGATGCGTCAACAAAAGCTAGCAATTAGGTAAAAACATAACCACCAATAAGAACATAACATTATTACCCAACACTGATGCTTCGCTGCCGCACAGACTGCCTGAAGGGGCGTCTGCAGGTGTACACACCTCGGAATGATTTTAGTAAACTAGCACCAAACCCCTTTCCTGTCCACCTTTATTCTTTTCTTCACAGTAAAGCTTTGAAATACATTATGGGTGTACCGAGTCAAAACATCAGTGTTGAACACTGATGTCATGCTGTCGATGATAAGCATGATGAAGAAAAATAATCGTTCAGCTGTAACAACCTTCCGGTGCCTAAATGCAATGCCACCCGAAGGAAGCACAAGGGCTGGGATAGTGTCACGTTGCCCATGCATTGACAGGGGAAGTCGCGAGGCAGAGGTCGGGTTCGAACGAAACTTCCGGTCAGTAAATTCGTGCTCTAACCACTTGAGCCATCTCACCCGCTGATGAAGAAAAGAAGAGTAGGTGAAGAGGTGACCTAGTACTCGCCTACAACAAGCATTCCGAGCTGCCTAAACCACCTTCGGGCAATCTGGATAGAAACGGACGATAACAATGCCGATGACATCCATTAAAAGCCATATCGTGCAGTGTCTCTAACCGTGCATAATGGGGATCACACATCCTGGAAGGCGAGCCACGCCGACGGCGCGCACATAGGTAACAAAGCAGCGAAGTTCGGCTGGTTCCATAGAAGGAGCAACCTACAGATTAAGGGAACATTCATTAGTGTGCGCAGATGGTGTACCTCAAGTAGTTGGTTTATCGTCCTTTCGTGCTCCAAACGCATTGGGTGTGTACTTATAAACAGATAGGTGGACAGTGTTTTCAGAGGTAACGTCAGTTTTCTGTCAGCTTCTAACAACTTGGTCAGAAGTATACAAACGATGTCGCTTTCATCAATGAACACAAAGGTGAAGCACAAGCCTTGTTGAATAAACTGACCACCAACCCACCATCTTTCGGTATGCGTTTTGCATCTTCAAACTACGAATTCATGCTTCAGAATGTAGTCTCTGAACATACCCCTTATGAATCAAGGACCACTGAAGGTTGTGGTAGGCGTTCCTTCTACGTCGTGTCCGAAAACTCGCCATCGTCGGTCATTGCCAGCTAACTGTTTGAGCGTTCAAGCGGCAGGTGGCTGTTTTCCGCTCGGATGCTTGACGGCTTCCCAGCTGCGATTTCGGTAGAGTTTGGAGGTCTCTGTAAGTTTCGGGTATTCTGGTATTATTTCCAGGAACTTGACCTTCCTGTTACGGTGAAACCATCAGTCCAGAGAAACAATGTTCGATTATTAAAAGGCTCAGCCTTGTTGGCCTAGATAACTCGACTGGTAGCTAATGCGACCCGAAAAAAAAGACCTCATTACAACCCAGCCCACGGTGGATGGTTCTCAATGATTTAGCTCACTGTTTCTGCCTAAAACAAACGTTTAGGCGGGCCAAATATGCAAATCATGACCGATCCTTACTTCCTGATCAAAGACAGCTCCATGCCCTGTTTGTGAACAGCATTTTAATACAACGACGTCAACATTCACAACTCGAAAGAATGGCGTTCCAAAATGGGACTTCAAGGACCCGTACTATCTACATAATGAAATCAGATTGCTGTGACTCTCAGACTGTTCCGCATATTTTTGAGACCACGCGTGGTATAGTAACAAGGTGCCTAGACTGGGCTGTCAAATGCTGTCTACCTATTGAAGGTACAAACAGAAGACAAAGTAGTGGGAAGCAAACATCACACAAAACCTAGCCACATAAAAAGGCTCATTCAGAAACGTGATGAACTCCAGTAAGTTCGGCTGGTCCGGACAGCATTTCGCACCCCTTAGCGAATTACGTGGGGATGCGTGAATACCCACTCAAAAGTATCGGTGATGTTAGGTGACAAATATTCATTATCATCATCGACAGTATGACATCAGTGTTCAACACCGACGCTTTACTACCGTACGTGACAAATATTGAAAAATCCAATGTCCTGCGTTGAATGCGCGCTGCAGGTTGAACTTTTTTAGTCCTTCCACTGCCGCTGATAAAAAATGGTGATAGTTTGTGACAGACTTCTGAAATTTAAGACAGCTTACCTGACCAAAATGTAGCCGAAGAAGGTCGTCAACATGCTTCGCAGATGGTAAGCTTGGCAGATTCTGGGAGGTACTGGGAGCTAGATCACACAAAAATTGATCATTTTTTAGGATCACAGTCAACTGCCGCTTAACCTGATCGTAAAGGTCATTTGTCCGTTCTAAGAGCTCCTCTTCAGATTCCAGCTTGAGTGCGCTATAATGATCACGAAAGCATATGACGGACGGTTTGTTTGACCGAGACACGTGAATCGATGGGAGCAGAGTTCTGTGACCAGACGTTCCGGATGTATTTAAATCACAGAGGTGCCAAAAGGAGACTGTTTTGGAAAGCATATGAATAGGAAAGTTGAAGGGGAAGTGTGTGTAAGGGAGGTCTTGGATTACATCACTAGAGATCGTAAAGTCTACGACCGTTAAACATCCGTATAAGACGGTTTCAAAATCTGGAATGGATAATTTTGGCCGCTGGACACTAGCACGGTTTCTGCTGGTCGATAGTTAAAAGCAGTCTTCAGGTCAGGAAAGGCCCCTACGGCTTACCGTTCTAAATGGGTATGCTATTCAGGCACCGTTTAGAAATCGGATACATGATGAGTGCGTCCCTGGACGTACAGAAACCCGGAAAAGTTGTTACAAACCGGCCATCGCAAGATCCTGGAGAGTATCCAAGATGCTATGGCTAACAGGCTAGTGCCACATCACGATGCTTCAACATGATTATAACGTGTCATTTCCGAATGGATGACCCACAGCCGAGGCAGCGTACGTCACTCGCATTGTCATTATGTAAGATGGCTTGTAGTGGAGTTGCCAGGAGGTTTATTGTGGTTTCATCGCGTTAATTGGACAATGTGAACAAAAACGAACTGGACGGAATGACTTGCCACGTTGGGTGAGGTATATGGCTCGACAGATTTCTGTTGACGATGGAGGTTTGGTTTCAGTATTCCACCCAGGTTCATAAGATTCCTTCATGTCCTGTGATCCGAAAGGTCAGCAGAAATGTCCTTTGAGGAATTATCCCATCACTCAACCAATCTGCTAACCAATTAGTGTCCTACATTTTTCGCAAATCGTTTTGAAAACCTCATTTTCTTCGGGTCACTTTATCGAATCAACCGACCTACAACGTGTTTGCTTCATTCAGCGCAAGATTTCTCCATCCCCTTCCACAGTTCATCAGCGTTCCGTGTCATTCCCTATTTTCTTGTTTATCTGAAGTTCCGAGGATATGCACGTGTTGTCGAGGCTGCTAGTTGCTGACGTGGTTTTCTTGGTATGCACGAAAGCTGCTGATCGTGACCAGAACTAGTCTTCATTAGAGTGCGCGACCGACATCGAGCAGACGGTTTCGAAAGTCTTTCAGGATTGGTTCGTGGTTGGTGACCCTCAGGTAACATGGTGTGAGTCCTTGTGCTGGTTAGAAACATGAAGTTCAGCAGATAAGAGAAGTCTCCTTTTATTATCTGTGCAATGAGCATCAACCCCAGATCGGTCACCAAGATGGGCTTCTTCCAGAGCTAGTCCGCTGCCCTATACATTCATGTAAATCAAGTTAGGACGGTCAGCTCACGATGTCTGCGATTCTTCTTGACCAAATTAGCCATGACAAATCTCGATAAGTTTCCTTTCTCAGCCCCAGAGCTGCCTTCTTTTGGGGTGTGTGCCGACACAAAAAATAAGCACCGTTTGCCGGGTCGAGATGCGCTGGTCTTGACTGAGCCAGTCAACCGAACAGCGCAAAGACGATCGGTTACTGGAATCCCGTCCAGTAAATGGCATTGTCCTGGGTTTACGCACAGCTCCCACGCCGTAAGTACCACGAACCATTCTATCAGGATCGCTAGACGCCCGAACAGTGAAGCGCGAAAAATCTAGATTAGTCTCGAGCGGTTAGAAGTACATGACCGAACTGTGGTATTGTGTGTTTCGGCGATAACATGCATCCATAGAAAGAAAAAAACAAGGTTTGAGCAAGAGCCGTCTATTGTTTAATTTGATGGAATACGGATCGGGAAACCAAAAATGCTGAACAAGTCGCTTGAAATTATTGATGTTGGTTTTATTTTGGTTTTACTGCGCAGGAGTCTAGACACCGAGTAACAACGAGGCGGCTAACAGCCGATTGAATCAGGAAGAATTAACTGAGTGACGTGCCATCATTATAATTTTGTTACTTTAGCTGCCAGAGCTTCGTTCGCCGATGATTTTGGGAGGAAATGCTGGACGGCTACGCACTAGAAACGGCAGCGAGGCTTGTCAGTCAGTAGTCTGGCAATGACGTACGAATGCCTCTACTAGTCAGCTCAGTCGCGTCTCCCCGGAAGGGTACCACAAGACAAGACAAGCTAATAATTCGCGACCCTGAAAGATGTGGCTGCGCCACTCAAGAAATGGCCTCGCATCAAAGTTATCGTCCTCACAGCGTAGCTTACAGGCACCGCCACGCCCGACAGACAGAATGGTTGGGTGCAAGTGAAAAGAATGGACCATCACCCAAAAACTGTGCACTGCGGCATTGTAGACATGGAACCTGATAAGTAAGTTGACGCTCCCTGTGCGCCACAGATGATTTAGGTTCACAAAAGCCGCTTTAGCTTTTCCAGAGTGGCACTGTAGCCTTTGTCTAGACCACCGGAACTGATACAGCTGCCCAGGTGGACGAATTTGTCTTCTATCTCCAACAGCCCACAAGCAAACATTGGGTTGGGATTTGAGCCTTAGTAGTCTTGCGGCGCAGGTGGGAAGCGCATGCCAAACCATGAGACGCGATTATTCAGATTACATTGTATCAACTTGATTACGATGGCGTCAGGTGCAAAATTGTCACCCCGCCTGCATATTCGATATCTGGGAGCGAACACCCAGGGAGCACTTCGACCGTAAAGGCGCTAGAGGCTGAGAGTGAATCATCCATGACCACATCAATGACGAACTTGGAGAGGCTTCGAGAACGCTGGACGACAGGAAAAAACGGACTCCGAAAGACAATATAAACGCCTCGACCCTGTGCATCGATCGGTGTGGTCATTTCTCGTAATAAAGTATTGCTTTCCCACTACATTTATTCAGCTCAACTGGCTGGTCGGAGTGAACGAACATAAGCTAGCTAGCAGAAAACATTTTCCAACGCCGCTTGCTAAAGCTCACGAAGCCACCAGAAACCATGTAAAAACAAAATTGGAAACGGGATACGCCGAAATATGGAAATTAGCCAGCAACCTAGTCGACAATGATTCAGTCAATCGATCACTGCGAAAGAAGGGATAGTTCGCTAATCAGGGTCAGGGTAAGGTGGAGACAGTATGGCAGAACGTTAACTAACGGACCAATCAAATTAAGCAGTGGTATTTGCCAAAAGCGAGCGATCCGAACAGCCAATCAACTGGGGGTTCAGGTTCAATGCAATAGAAATACATGGCAGTCAAAGTCTAGGGCTCCCGAAAACACATCGCCAGATATCACCTCTGGATTCATTGGGAGGCCGGAGGTGGGGAAGAAACTCAATCACTAGGAAAGGATGCAACGGAAGTAAGTTATTGATTGCTGGTTCAGAGCCGTTGGGCATGGTGGTACATTGGATTCACGTGGCTTAATCCATGGTAGGACCAAGAGCTGAGAACAAACTGCTGCATTGTAGTTGAAAAAGAAGCAAGTTTGGTTTGCCATTCAGCTGGAAATCGTGGGAAGTTGTGTGAGAATATCCTTGAGAGTAGGTCTGGAAGCGACAGGTGCAGATGAGACGCTCATAAAGGTGATGATGTTGAAACCAAACCAAAGGCGAGGCAACCTTCACACTTGGATTAGGTTACGCATGGGGCAGGCTGGATTCTTACTGTCTGCTTGGCACTCTTCAACAAGTTCCCTTGACAGTTCATTCCGGAACTCCTGGCAATGTTGGAATGATCCAAGAAGGGGAGAATAAATGAGGAAAAGAGAGCAGTAAAACTGCGTCTATCTGTGGGAGACAAACCACGACGAAGAAGACTGGCCATCTTGATACCCTTCTTTCAGAGCAGAAGGTTAATCAGTGAGGGCAGAATTCTGTGTACGATCCACATTCCTACATCCACATGGTGACCTTATAAGGTCCATATGGGATGCAATCATTCTGTTTATTCGTTAAATGACGCAGGTACGTATTTGTGTGGGGTCGAGTGGAATATGTTTGATCTCGAGCCATCAGCAGCTATTCAGAGGGTGTGTTGCTTACTAAAGTATACATTTAGAGCGTGAAGAAGACCATTCAGGAAAGAACGTCCTCATCAAATCAAGGTCAGCAATGATTAAAACGGTCGACTAACTTTCGTATCCGCGGTTTCATAGGAGAGAACTGAGGATAAGTGGCCTGTATTATGGAGGTTTGTGGGCTCTCACTTTTTTATATTGGGTTTATAGTTATCTTCTTTCAAGAAAAGGTTCACTGGTGGAAATTGGAAGAATAAAATGGAGTATGGAGAAGCAGAGGCGGATGTCCATTCATTGAGTATCCCAAGGGGATAAGAATGAGTCAGGAAGAACCGCCCGCGGTAGGGTGACAGCCGTCTTTGTGCAAAAAGTAAAAGAACGGACATGGAGCAGAGAGATGTAATAGGGAGGGACGGGGATTAAGTATATAGGGGAGTGAACTTGGCGATCAAAGCGAAACGGAGCCTATACAATAGAATAATTTCAATAAAATGCGAGGAAACAATCTCGCAACTGAGATTCTTAGCCGGGGAAACAATTTGTGCAAAAGATGCTCAGTGGCTAGCATACCGGTTTGGAGTAATAGCTTTTCGGAAAACGCGCACTTCAATTTCTCCGAACCTATTGACCGAGCAAAGGTAAATTTTGCATAAGATTTTAGCTTTTAAGGGCATTTGTTCAAAAATTAGAAATTTCTCCCAGACAACAGCATTTCCGCTGAAATTTGTGTAAGCGTACTCCACGTCTAGTTTGTGAGTGGAATGTCTACGGGAAAAGTTTATGCTTTATTTTTATACAATTTTCAAATATTTTGAGGGAGCGCCTGAAGACTGATTTCTTCTTCTTTGTGCGCACAGACTCGAAATGGTGCGGGCGTTCACGCACTATGAATTAAAATATTTTCCGCCGCTGAAAGGGGCGTCGTGTCAGGGAAGACCAAGAAATTTGTAGCGGATAGAAAGATTTTTTATGATAGTTAGCGCACGCTTTACTGGATGCATGGGATGCACATACTTTGGTCTGTATACTGACTGCATGATAATGCCGCGAGAGGAATTACTATTTTTTGAGCGGTACGAACTCACATTGTGGCAATTATGCCTGCAATTTGTATTTTTTTTACACAAATCCAGTAAGCTGATGCTGATATTTTCTTTGCTCAATTAGGAGGCCGAATCGGATTATTGGTCACCGGTCGAGCTGGTGGAGAGGGCGCAAGAGATTAAGCAACGTTTGTGTGCTGTCAATCCTACTCAACTTTCAGGATGATGAGTCGTGGTTCTCATTGCGCCCGGTTTGGGTCGATACAGTTCCTGGCTGCTGATCAGCGTCAATGGACTTTGTTGTTAGTTTCCATCCATATTTTCTGGATGAATGCCTGGATGTGCAGTCGTCACAGAATGCCCGACACTGGCAATGACT